TCATACTTCGACATCGATAATTCACTTCCGCATTGTGTTACCGGAAAGTCTTCGGGAATTTCCGAAGAATTGCATCAGTACAACACAGCATTGTGATTGGTCAATAACCAACTTGACCCATTAGGTCAAAGGACGCCGCTGCAGGTGAAATCTGCAAATGCATAATGGCGGAAAGTGATTTTCATCAAGAGTTTGCGTACGATCCAACACCTTCGTCAGTGGAGATAATATGACAATTTTGACTTCAACTGTGTTCTAACAGACTCAAATGTTTTTAATTTCGTAAATTCTGGTGGTACGTAATTAATATTGTAATAAAATGTGCATATTGTTTGATCATTTCTGTTTCTTCATTGTGAAAATCAATGACGACTCAACTAATTTCGTAATTTGATTTCCCTCAAAGACGTAATCTGTCACTTGATGAATCAAATTTTTCATTTGCACTCTTTTTCGAGGGGGGTGCTCGGGTAAGCGCCCACCCCTAAAAAATCATGATTTTCTGAGTTGAGGCCCGTGAGCCCTGACGCGGTCGAGTACGGTACATGTGCATATGTGCGACATGATTTATCTATAAAGTTTGAAAGTACATAATTGATTAAGGCATGTTTGAGACGTGACTCTGGAATTGCATTTGTTAAAAAAAAAATGGCCACCAGTTCGCCCTTTTGAATCCTATATGAAAAACAAAATGACACATAGGGGTTTGTGGATTGACCTGTTTTTAGACTGCATCCGAACAGTGATTAACAAAGGTATCACACAGCAAATGTATTGTCTGAGACATGAAGCAATGTATGGGGAATTACTTATTGTGCAAAAAGCACCAAGTGAAAGATGACTAATGTTTACCCTTAATAAATAAGTCTAATAAAAAAATATACCTCCGTATTCTGGAGCAATATAATGCATATTTTTCTGCTCTTCTCGGTACGTCTTCACATGATTATGGATTGTATCCGGCGCCACTGAAAATATAGAACAGCAATAATGTCAAAACCTTGTGTCTCGAGGGTTATTTTAACACATTGCCACCATAGGTTTAAATACCCACACCTGTATGCATATGACTATGGACAGCGATGTGTTAATATAATGCTTAAATATAAAAAAAAAAAAAAAAAAAAAAAAAAAAAAGTAATTACAGTAAATGCTGAGAACTTAAGCAAGATTGGCATCTATATTTTCAGAAGATAAAACAGAAAATAAGTTTGCAATTTTATAAATCAGCAATGTGTAACTGATTGAAAAACAAATTCTGAGACTCCATAAAATGCAGATTTGCAGTTTCTATCATTCATAACTCTTTGAACATTTCATGTGTGATGGACTGCAGTTTAATTGATAGTTTTGTTATCACATTACAACATAAGATTGTCTTGTTATAGTATTTTGATGATGAATTTCAACAGGTTTCCAATACCAGTAGTATGTGCATGCCATAAATATTTTTTCTGGTTATTGAGAAACGAAAACCTAGCCCTACTTTCATGATTGTGTAGTTACCATTAACTAGTATGAATACTTTAAGAGGATTTTTATTATTGTCACACACGTCCTGTGAACGAAAGAGCCTCGTGAAGAAACATTGTGAAGTTAGACGAGAAGTTTCTATAGAGGTCAGAATCACCTTACAAACATGCACAAGAAATGTAATCTGGGGTTTAGCATGACATTGATTCCCCCGTTTGTTAAAAAACAAGTTCAGTCCCAGGCTATTCAACATTCGGGAGCATTGTACATAGTTCCAGTAAAGCATATTAAAATGAATATCCAGGAACTGAGACTCTAGCGTTATGTTTGGCAGATGAGCCAAATTTGACATGACCAGATGACTCATGTCGCAATCACCAGTCAGACTCTTGAGTTCACGATAGACTCAATGAAGCAAGAAGTTTGTCAGATGTCTATCAGTGCAGTGATGCTGTATCTCAATATTCACAGAATATTTGATCGGCGACACAGCTGGTCAATTCGCTTTCATGAAAACCAGTTCTTCCGAAGTACACGATTTCCCTCAAAGTTGTCTGAAGGGAAATGGTACTTGGAGACGACATTGTGTTTTTTGTAAGTCTCTGCTGTCGAACTAACATCTGTCCTGAGGTTGTATACCCACAACTTATGGAGAAGTGGTTGATCAGAATGACAAGTATCACTGTTAGCACATCCAAAATACTTGCAGGTCAGCATATTGAAACATCTGAAGGAAACCGCTAGAAATTTGCAACTTCTTAACTTAATCGTAAAAAGACTATTTTTGACCACCTATGTACCCACAATCCAATCTCCTACCCATTTGCACGCTTTACACAAATTATAAGTAACGCATATCAAACTGTTCAATAGACCATTTTCCGTTCACTGCGAGAATCACGCGTTATGCGTGAAATCAAACGTAAAAACAGGACAAACAAAGGTCATAGCGTCGTAGTGGCGTCAAACATCGCGTGGGATTCGACAAACGCGAAAGTATTTCGGGGACATTTCCATGATTAATAATGTGCTGTCCACATTTGATGATAGACAATTTCGATTAAGTGAGGGTATTCGGAAGCAATATTCCTCTGTCGAAGATCGGCCGGTCAATGTAAGCTACGAAATAAAGAAATTCTAGTTCAAAATCAAATCGTTCGATTTTTGCAGCAGACGTTCGACGCGCGTCTTTCATGCATCTCGCGAGATCTCGCAATTGTACGGAAAATCACCTATTGTATCAGGGGAATCAATGTCACATTTTACCCACAATCCCTTGCTTCATAGCCTCATACTACCTTATGAGGGCGTTTTATACAACAATGTCACCCGTTATTGTATCATTTCAACAGAATTCAGTTTATAAAACACTCATAACTTTGCTGTTTTTCTTGTTATTTTTTATGCAAGTGAACATCAATAGTGTAACACAATCATAAATATGGGCTAGTTATACATTTCCTTTAATGTAGTTCATTACTATTAAAAAACATATTCGATAATCTTTTAAATCAATCAAGAGGGGTTGGGTTACTGTAATTTCCAAAATTCTGTGCCTTTGTTGATGCCAGCTGTAATTAACCAAAGAATACAGGAGGTGGCGGAACAAGGACTGACCTGACACTGTAAATCTGCATATCATGAATTTACAAATGTGTAATAGCCGCTTGAAAATTCATTTTATGCAGCATTGCATTTCTTGGTGTGAATGAGCATAACACACTGCACCATACATTAACAACATCTAGTTCTGTTAACCCCCCAAATTATAAAACTTTGAAAATGGTTTTTATTTAAAAAAATGGGCCTGTATACTTACATTACTAAAGAAATGACGTAAGTGATGTTTAACTTACGAGTGCATTTCTTAAGTTGTCTTTAATCAGGGATAACAAAGAGTTACATGTATATGATCCCCCTTCACCACCTTTACAAAACTGACCACTTCTAAGGTACCACGAATGATTGGCAAATGGATTGGGAAATTTGGAATGAAATGCAGGCCTATTCTTTAATGTAAAATAAACACCCTCTAGTGGTCAGTTTTAGAAATGTAGTTAAAGGATCATTCATCCCTATATCTTATACAGTATACAGGACCATGACTTAAATATTAATCCTTAATGCCCAGTTCTATGCAGGGTGACTGTCTATTTAGGTGTAAAAACAGTCACATCTCCTGGGTACTATGCCTAATCTATGAGAGCTTCAAAGATATTGGTGAGATGCTCACCCGATATCGCCTTCCTCTCGTAGTAACCAACTAGCAAGTGAAAGTTAGAATATTAGAAGAGAGATAGAAGCAAGAGTTTAGTATTTTTAAAGCTGCTGTGAGTACATCTAGCTAGAATTAGACAACGTACAGGAATGTTTTACTACAGAGAAAGGGGTAAGGAATACTACTATAACAGGATGAATCAGTGGATTTAAGTTTAGTGGATTACATTTAGGGACTGCGCTAGCATTTTTGAGATGCAAGGCCAGGTACATTAGACATATAGTATCTCTAACATAGTAGGCACCCAGACTAGTCTCGAACCACATGCAAGTCCAGGAACAGAATTTTGGGTTAACACAATCCATGGTTACAGAATTCACTGGGTGACTTGTTAAGGAAACTTAGCACGTACACTGGGTTTCAATGCATGTAGCTATCAGTGAAAATAATCATACATTGTTTACGCAAAATTCAAACATGGCTGTGTGTCAACTGTAGCACTTCAAGGCTTGTGGGCATTTACTGTGATAGCCCTCTCTGTCTCATTAAAAAGGCTTTAATTAATGTGAGTAAACCAAATATTTCTGACTGACTGTGCTTGAATAATGAAGTTTGATAATGTATAGAGAGAAAAAGGTGATTTATTGAAAAATGAAAATGTAGCAGTATTCATTCAGTGAACACCAACAATATGCATGTGTCCTGATGCCTAGTATAGTGTATGTGTAATTAAATTAAATTTTGGTAAAGCATGAGGTGATTACTAAGGTGGGACTGCAACATGCACTTCATCAGCATGAACACATTGTACTTACTTTTGTGCTGAAATTTGAGTGTTTGATCAATATGGGTAATTGATTTAATCATTTTGTTATACAGTGGTTATCATATTGAACTAAATCTAATATTCAGTATGGCAACTTTTTGAATGAGGTACATGTACTTGTTTCCCTTTCAAGTCTGGCAGCTATAAAATGGATGCGATATGGGAACCAGGTATATGGTATTTTTTAAGGGGGGGGGTGATGAGCACACAGTACATTGTCAGGGCCGCACTCCCCACCTCTCCAAAATACAATACACAACTGTCCTATGTTGAAATCCTGAAAAAACACCTCACGTCATGTTCCTTCATCCATCCCTGCCACCCCTCAAAAAACATGTACCAGGGATGAGCGTTTTATTATTTGCGTATTTGCAATATTGCACGAATAACAAATATTCCAATAAAATACCAAAAATATGGGTATCTACAAGTTACAATCAAAATGTATAGTGTTGCTCTATCTGGTCATGAATGTACCAATTAGATGTGGCACCTCATTGGCACTGTATAAAGCAGAGTCAGTGTCTTCCCAGAAACATTTGCGACTATTTTACATAAAAATTATGTTTTTGCTCAATTGATTTGCACATTTGTAAAGGACTGAGTAAGGTCTACTGGTCAAAAATAGGTTCATATTTTTTTTTTTATGATTCAGTATAACAATAAATGCAATTTAATGTTTATGAGCATTTCTATTAGAAATACTGCAAATACAGTATGGTAATTTACGTATCAAAATTATAATAGTGGTAGAGACCACCACACAAATTTTTTTGGGAGTACCCTGTGTTAGAGTAGAAATGAAAGAAGTGTTGCGTATTGTGACAAGTTAAGTGGTTGGTATGGTTGAAAATTTAGTAAACTCACCAGAACCGATTTTAATGAGTCCGTTATGCTGGATAAAGATTGTATCACATGTGAGGTTGCCATGGATAATGGGCGGTTCACAGGAATGCAAATAACTTCAGAAAAAGAAGATTTATAGTTAGTTAATAATATTAATAATACTGCACAGGTTGGGTGTGGTCTTGCGGTTGGTCACTTTCATAAAAGTCTTTGGGAATTGGGACACTTTGCTTTATCTTGCTATACAAAGTCATACATAGGGTGGGGGTGAGGGTGGGGGTGGGAGTGGGGGTAGGGGTAGGAGAAGAGGGGTCATGGACCAATATATATATGATAAACCATGGCATAAATACAAAGGATATTGCAGTGGCTATTCAAATCACTATAACCGACTCGCCTAAATAGTTCAAATTCAATTTTTTTGCCACATGTTGGAAGTAGTTCAGAATTGATTGATGTTTTCAAAAATCCACAGAAATTCATTCGGTTAAAAAATCAAAATAACCAAAAGAGCCAGTTTCAGTTATTGTCAAATTGTCAATTTGATTCTGGTATCACAATTTCAGAACAGTAAACAAAAAATAATATACATCAAAATACATTTTATTTACTTTAGCCATAATTTTAGAAGTTGCATTTTTTGTTAATTTTTCATATTTGTTAAATCACGCAAGCAAACATGACAAATGAACACATGGGGTAGTTCGTTTGGATGTTCATACAGTGTATGCATACAGTGTATGTAAACGACATGTAATAGCTGCTTACACATATGTTCATCAAATTGTTGGTAAAAAGTTTTGACTAAGAAGGAAACATACTGGACACTTTGAGGAAGGTTACAAAAATTGACAATGTAAAATAGTAAAGTACAAGCCATGCATGGCACAGTCCCCGTTAGTTATCAAATTTAAGATATATAGTTTTGTTTATAGTAATATAGATGGAATATAATTTTTTAACATTAAAATGATTGACATCTGTATCTGATTGTCAAACAAGTACTTGTCCATATTGAGAGATATTGCTCTGGAACAGCATTCAAAATCAGCCATTTTGAATACATGTATATATATAACATGATGTATAACGAATATATAAAATTTGAATATAATTATATCAAAGCATTTATGAGATATGGCTCTAGAACCCCAATCATTAAAGCAAAATTGCCGTCAGTCAGCCATTTTGAGTCTGATCTGAAAAATAAAATGACGTGCATCAGGAACCTGTCTAATGTATGTACCAAGTTTGAACGAAATCCATCCATAAATACCAGAAATGCTTGATATATGATGATTTTTTAGCACAAAAATGACCACCATTCGGGCATTTTGAATAGGATCGT